ATTCCTGTTACCTTTAGTCGTCACGTATATTTCGTGTTCCCTCAGATACTCGGTCCCATTGCTTATCCATACGCCCAGATATTTGTATTTATCTGTTATCTCTAGCGTGACCTCCTGTATTCTAAGCTCACTACCTTCGTTGTCATTGAAAATCATGACTGCTGATTTTTCCTTACTGAATCTAAAATCTAACCTATCTCCCTCATTACCGCAGATGTCCATCAATCTCTGCAAATCTTCCTTGTTGTTGGCCATTAGCACTATATCATCTGCGTACATTAATGCTGGTAGTGCCTGATCAATAAGTTTTCCTTGTTTGACTAAAGAGAGGTTGAAGTCCACTTCCCTCTAATTTTGCCTCTAATCCTTGTAGGTACATCATGAATAATAAGGGTGACAGGGGGCACCCCTGCCTAAGCCCCCGTTTTACCTCTGCAGGCTTGGATACCTGTTTTTCCCACTTTATAACTACCTTGTTACCTTTATAGATACCCTTTAAAAGATTAGTGACTACATGTTCCACGCCTAGTGTGTCCAGTATTCCCCACAATTCCTCTTGAACCACGCTATCGTACGCTCCCTTGATATCCAAAAATGCTAGCCACAGGGGCCTGTGTTCCTTTTCTGCTATTTCGATGCACTGAGTCAGTGAGAACAGATTGTCTTCCAACCTCCTGTGTTTCCGAAACCCATTCTGCAGTTCCCCCAGCACCCCCTCATCCTCTATCCACGCCTGCAGTCTTTCCTTTATAATTTGCATCGCCAGCCTGTAGACCACTGATGTCACTGTTATAGGACGGTAGTTGTTTATGTCAGCTTTTTCCCCCTTTCCTTTATAGATCATGCTCATCCTGCTAAGTTTCCATCCATTGGGAACTTCACCATCGATTATTATTTTGCTCACTGCCTCTCTCAAAGCCTGCTTAGACTTCGGACCTAATGTCTTTATCAGCCTAATTGGAATGCCATCTGGGCCTGTTGATGTACTACCAGGAACCCTTTTCTCAGCCCTTTCCCACTCTTGTTGTGAAAATGGAGCCATTGCACCACTTGATTCGTCCTTGTCTATTGTGGTGCATAAAGTACTTCTTTGTTGAAATTTTTCTGTCACCCTTGTTCTTATATATTCAATAGCTTCGTCCCCTTCTAGCCTAGCACCTTGGGCTGTAGTTATAAAACTCTGCTCTAGGCTCGTCTCATTTCTTAGGGAGTTTAGATGGTTCCAAAATTTCGCAGCTGCCTTGGCCCTTGTGCGCCACCACTGCGGCGCGATTGAAGGCACCGGCCTATCACTTATGTATCGCCTGGACTATATTGAGGACGCAGTCGTCAAACACGCCATGGCCAACAAAAAGCAGGCTACTCTTTTTCAATATTTTAGGCCACCACAATAAATACCATGTTTCAATCCTAAAGTGAGTATTTACTGCACCACGCTTGAATGGTTCGTTGGTCGTTTTCAGCAAGCTGTTGACGCATTTTCTTCGTGATTTTGTTAGATCGAATTCTGGATATATCGAACTATTTCGCGATCGCCACGCCGTTCGATATACCGAGGTTCGACTGTATATACTTCAACGACGCCCTGATTCCGCAGTGTCTGCATGACGGCTGATATTTCTACTGAATCAAACGCCTTCTCGTAATCTATGAAGGTTATGTATAGTGGTTGGTTATATTCTGAGCATTTCTCTATTACCTGATTGATAGTATGAATGTGGTCGATTGTGAGTAGCCTGTTCGAAATCCTGCTTATTCCTTTGGTTGATTGAATTCTGATGTTTTGTTTACTCTGTTAGCAATTACTTTTGTAAATAGCTTGTATACTACAGAGAGCAAGCTAATCGGCCTGTAATTCTTCAAGTCCTTGTCTTCTCCTTTCTTATGTATTAAGATGATGTTAGCGTTCTTCCAAAACTCTGGTACTCTTCCCGTCAGGAGACACCTCGTAAACAGGGTGGCTAGCTTTCTAACACAATCTGTCCTCCATCTTTCAGCAGATCTGATGTTACCTGATTCTCACCAGCAGCTTTTCCTCTTTGCATGCTCTCCAAAGCTTTTCTGATTTCTATCATTACTGGTGGGGTGTCATCTGGGTTACTGCTAGTTATTATAGTATTAAAGTCGTGGTTGTCCCGGCTACTGTACAGATCTCTGTAAAACTCCTCGGCTATTTTAACTATCCTATCCATATTGGTAGTTATTTTGCCTTCTTTGTCCCCAAGTGCATAAATCCGATTTTTGCCTATCCCAAGTTTCCTCTCTACTGCTTTGACGCTTTCTCCGTTTTTCAGAGCGTGTTCCATTCTCTCCATGTTGTACCTCCTTACGTCGGATACCTTACACCTATTAATCAACTTCGAAAGCTCTGCCAGTTCTATTTTGTCTGTTGTACTTGAGACTTTCAAGATTTGATGCTTCTTAATGAGATTCTTCGTTTCCTGGGAAAGCTTGCCAGTGTCCTGTCTAACTACCCTTCCTCCAACTTCCACTGCACACTCCGTAATAATACTCGTCAGATTATCATTCATTGTATCTATGCTAAGGTTGGTTTCCTCACTAAGAGCAGAGTACCTGTTTTGAAGCGAGACTTTGAATTCCTGTACTTTCCCTCTCAGTGCTAGCTCATTGATTGGCTTCTTGCGTATCAGTTTCTGCCGTTCCTTTCTCAAGTCTAGGCGAATTCGAGACCGTACCATTCTATGGTCACTGCATCATACCTTGCCAACCACTTCCACATCCTGCATGATGCCTGGGTGTGCACTCATTATAAGGTCTATTTCCTTCTTATTTTCGCCATTAGGGTTCCTCCATGTCCACTTGCGGTTTCCTCATTTTCGGTAGAAGGTATTCAAAATCTGTAAATTATTGCGTTCTGCGAATTCTACTAGTAGCTCTCCTCTGGCGTTTCTAGTACTGATGCCATAATCTCCTACTGCCTGGTCTCCAGCCTGCTTCTTCCCTACCTTTGCACTAAAGTCTCTCATCAGTATTGTATACTGTGTATATTGTATACCTTACTATTGTATACCTTACTTGTATACTGTGTGTATTGTATACCTTACTCATTGCCGATTTCACGTCTTCGTAGAAGCTTTCAACTGAAGCTTCTATGAAGACGTGAAAAACGTTGCCAAAGACGAGTTAAACGTTGCCAAGTTCAGGTTCCAATGGCAGCCTGTCCGGATCCAGAGATTCTTAGCACCCTCTGCTGCATTGCAGATCTGACCGCCATGGTCAGTTGCTTCGCAGCTGCTGGGGACTGAGGGCCGTGAGTTATTTGACGTATGCATGTGGGAGGTAGCGGCCAGATACTGCACCAGGGTGGCCAATCCTTCTTTGTTGAGGGAGTGCGTTCCCGGCGGTGGTTACCGGTGAGGCCGCACTCCAGGCCTCGTAATGCAGTTCCATCACCACGCGGATTTTTTTTTATCCGGTTGGGAACTGCGCGGCACCGGGATTTGAACCACGGACATTTTGCATGCGAGGCGGATGCTCCAACAACTACGCCGTTGCTGCTTCTGAAGTGGGTATGCCCCACAGTTAATAGGTGACTCTACACAATAAAAGAAAACAGTACAAGATTTTCAGTGGGTTGGAGCATTGGACGACCTAGTCGTCATGAAATTTACATTGTGTGATGCCTGACTGTTCCTTTGATGTTCTAAAACGCTTTATTACTCATTTTAATGCGATTTCTTTCCCGATGTGAAGCCTGTCTAAGGCCAGTTTCGAAAGGAGTGCCAAGCAGTGCATGAAGCACTGCAGTCATTTGGAAAGATTTACAGTGGAAACTTGGAGTGTGTTAGAGATGGAACAGATGCGTACCCTTAATCAAGATGTTGTATTGACACTCGCGGACGGATTCGGCGTGTCCGACATCCTGCATCTACTCTCAGTTTGCGGTCTACAGAGCCTCCTGCTCATTCCTTGCAGACCACTGTTAAGCCTGTGCTGCAACAGAGTAGGACACATTTGTTGTAACTGCTGGACACCGCATTGTGAGGATTGTCGACGGTTTGGACACACGGCTCATGAATATGTAGCGACGTATGCCAACAAACTACACCATCGCATACGACCACCTAATGACGCTTTCCAAGAACACATTATGGATGCTACAGAAATCCTTGAAGCAACTGGTGACCTTCCACGTGCTGTAGTTGCTGAACCCTGTGCTGCCGACAAAGACGAGGCTGATTACTGTGCTGTAGCAAAGACATCCGAACGAGCATCGAAACGAGATTGCGCCAAAAACAGCGGCGAAAAGCAGGCAGTCCCTGCATCTGGGAGGGCAGAGACTCGCAAAGGAAGCCTTGGAAGCAGTGCTGATAAAGAAGCACTAGATACGGAGATGACTGCTAAAGATGTGCGAGGATGCACCGACGCTTTCATAAGGCCAAGCATCCCCAAACTCCGCGACAAGCGAGAAAACAGACTCGATGTCCTGTCCTCATCAGTGACGCCATCGCAAGTCATCACAGCCTGCAGGAAAGTGTAGACGCTCAAGATAAAGGAGGCCGGGTACTGATGATGGTCGAATGCTGGCAAACTGGACAAAAATTATGAATATTTATGGCATGGTGGGTATTCAGCAGTGTACTTGTAGCAGTTACCCAAAGAGTGTTTGTAAAAGGTTCTGAAAGGCCGCTTTTCAAGCTTTCCCTGCGACTGTGCTCTGCAGACCTGGCATTTTTTCGTAAATGCGATTGATGACGTCACGGGCAATGCTGGGGATACAGTGAAAGACCCAGTGCAGACAAAATTGTTTTTATTTTGTGGTGCACCCGCAGCTCATAGCGCTTCCACGTTTGGCAATGTTGATCGTGACTGCGTTCTGAAATGCGCACTTGGTGGAAAAGCTATAAACTATTTAAGGTTGTTTAGGGATCCCTTTAGAAATTAAAAAGTTTAGAAACCTTTTGCCCCACTTCCCTGCAAGCACTTTAAACACTTTTTGTGTGCATTTTAACAAATAAAGTAAAGAAAGAGAAGCAGCATTTGTTGGCTCTGTGAAGATTTATTTACATTGCAACGAAAGTGTGACTGTTTATCATGATGTGGAAAGGAAACACAAAACTTGGGCTGCGACACATTAACACATTTGTGGGCGTTCACATTCTACTTCATGGCAGTTGGTAGAGTTAAAGGGACCCTTGCGACGGTTTTTTGAAGTTTTGTCAGAGTTAAGGGATAGCATCATCAAACCATTTGCACCACAAATTTACCGACATGTCGTGTACCAAGGCCGCTCTGGACAATTATACCCTCCTTCTCACCTCTGCTTTGCCTTCTGAACCCGCGAGACATGTGCACTCGACAATTTGAGCTTCGCTCAGTCTAGATAGTATGCCGACAGGTTAATTGCGCACAATCCCGAACACCACCACACAGTGCACCTGGCAGCACCCACACCGTCTGGCAACAGAGAAAAAGATAGCAGAGTGGTTGATATCTTGATATCTGCTCTGACAGGTGCTGCCACAATACTAGTAGATCTTCCTCACGTTCCACAGTAAATCAGACCAGGAGCCTCTGTGACGTCGCGTTACCAGAGCATGTTGTTCTGTGAACGGGTGGTTGAAAACGCATTTGGCCAAGACGCATCGATCTGCAGTGATTCGCAGCTTCAAAGGCCAACTCTGGCGATTTTTTGACCATGACAGAATAATGGTGATTTTATGTTCCTGAGACACTCTTGTCACGCGCCCGATAGCTGAAACTGAACAAATTCGAAAATGACCTTTCATTACCGAAAAACCGCAATACCGAAACCCCACTGAGTGTGCTTTTATGCGTGACGTAATCATTTGCCCGAACCTGCCTGATAGCACATAATGCCCGCCATATGGCACTACCTATGCACGCCATTCGCGGCGATCTGCTAAAACGCTTACGCTGTTATGATGAATATATGGCGAATCGTGTGTGGCTCACAACGCAACACCACTTGCCACTTATTATCACACGCCCACTAACATAGAAAAGCAGATTGCACGCTCAACCGAGAAAGCGCCGGCCAAACCCACACAATCCATAGCAGACAAGCAGACGCTGCAGTGGCACATCAGTTCCGTCACTTCCACCCGGCAAAACTCAACGTCACACACACAATGTCGCCATTAATTCTGGCAAGCGAGGTGAGCATTTCGAGGCAAGCTATAAGACTATTTTTAAAAGAATCTTCGAAAATCTCAAGCCTGCCATTTGGTATGAATGGCGCACACGTGCAGATGAACGCATCCAGTAAATTTTATTGAGATCCATTGACCTGAAAAAATCGCCAAAATTGCCATTTAAAGTGTTGTAATAAATGACACAGTTTACACACAGAGCTCAAATTGGTCTGTAAATGACCCTTAGGACTTAGCCTACAGCACAACGTGTTTGCAAAAAATTATCAAAACTGTGTCGGGGTCCCTTTAACAGGCTCAATAAAAAAAAAAAAGAACAAGTAGCAGATGTCACCAGCCCAAATTTTGCTAGTACAAGTTAGGGCTAGGGCTGCTCATGCTGCCAGCCATGCTTCCAGGATCGAAAAATGACAACAGCACAGCACATCTAGAAAAAAAATTGTGCTTACACTGACACCAAGTAAACCCTTAAATAGTGTCTGAGAAGCAAAGACATTGGTGCCAACAAAGTACATTCCTCCAGGACATCGACAGTGCTGTCTGGTGTCACTTTAGGTGAGGAAGCATCACACAAATATTGAACATTGACCCAAGAATGCTAGGGTGGTGGTTTCCATTAGGGTCACTACCAACTTTGATCCTTTTTGTTTAACACTGCACGGTCAGTGAATTCATTCAGCTCAATATGTAAAATTTCAGAGGCAATGTGCAAGTGCTGTGAGCATAGTCACTGTGCCCAGTTCCTGCTTTGGCCATATATGTCCCTCCTTACAAGGCAATACATTTTGTGCCTCGTAAGGAGGGACAGCGATTTGATGCAAAAATAAATCATGTGGGGAACAAAAGGGAAAAAAAAAAAAACACAGAAAAACTTGCGATGCGCAAGATGATTAAGGGACATTATCAAGACATGAATTGACGATGGTTTTTCACTAAACTGCTGGTTCTTGTCAACGACCACAGATATTGTGAATACATCTAAGCGGCACAGCTCAGCACAAGTAGTAACAAGAGCAAAAAATTTACAAAGACTTTCATGGTCAAATGAACCAATCGATAAAAAAACACATTTTTTTATAAGTGTATTCCTTACATTTCCAGCTGACTTGGAAGGTCAACTGCAGCTTCTGACGTCATGTAGATTCATAACCAATGGTAGAACATAATAGAATAGTACACAAAAAGACTCAATAGTCGATCATGAGATGTTGTACGTGTTGAATCCCTGCAAAAAGCTACCCAGTTTCTACATAATGCTTTTACACAGTGCTGGTACGTTGAAGTGAACATTCCAAGTGACTCAATAAGTCTGCTATCAGCTAATGGCAGCCAGAATTGCACTCTGGGTACCTTGAGAAGTCACTGTATTGCGGGGTGTTGCTAAAGCTGTTTACACGAGATTTTATTGTCTTCTTCAAGGTGCTGCCACTAACAAGACCACTTGTGTAAACATTAGCTCCAGCAACAACCCGAAGGATTTTTATCATTTTAGGCTTTGAACTGAGTCCTACACCCAGACCTCGATATAATAGAGACAGATATAATGCATTGTCGCTCATACTGAATAAATAAAAACAGCCTTAATGTTAGGAATATACCTCTATAACGAATTTCCGGATATAACGAACTTATTTTTGTGTAAGATGCAACTTTGTTATAATGATGGTGAGTGTAGTTGTTTACCACACTACACAAGTGCATGATTGACACTGCTTTGATAGTTTGCTATCAATGGACAATATTTGTGTGGGTAAAGTCTGCGTGGTACTTTGGGTGTGCTACAGATGATGTGCCTACTTTTTCAACATGCTATGTGGCTTCATGGTATGTCATCATTTTGACTCTTTTTTTTATGTTGCTTTCCGGATTCTTCTCAGTGAACATGCTTCACGTGCTATAAACAGATGCAGGAAACACAGCCACACTACCAATGAGAGGTAGCATAGATCATTTTTGCTTCTCTACACAATGTATTGTGTACTTGCTTACAAAAACATTATTCACAGCTCTACATTTCATGGGGATGGTGTAAATACGCAAGCAGCATACCCACCGGCACCTTTATTTACATGGTTGATGGGCCACACACAATTGGGTAGTGGCATTTGCTTCAACATTCTTTCACAAAGGAAGCGAAGGTGAGGCCAAAGCAGACAGATAAAAATAGCACATTGACACATGACTCAGCACATAGCAGAGGAAGAGAGGAAGATGGCTGTCATTTGTGAATGAGGGCTTACACACACACTGCAAAGGTAAGAACAAAAAATTGAGGACTGCATGCAATCTCCTAACAAAAGCACAAAGCTGTAAACGGGTGCCATAACAAAAATCTAAAATGTGCAGATGATTATGAGTGTAAATGTTGTACCATGAAAGCAGACATACGCGACAATGGTTTTCTCTGCCCCTTCCTTCTGAATTCCAACAATCTGTTGCATCGCGTAAGCATGGTCAAAAGCCATTGAGCATCACACAAGGTCTTTTGTGACAGTTAAACAGCTCGTTCACACTCTATAGCTCAGTGCCTCGCCAAGTAAACATGTGACAACAGGTTTACGTGCTTGCATTTACAGATATGCCTCTGTCGACTTAATTTAAGCCCAACACGAAGCAAAGTTATGCCAACCCAATAATCAAGGGGAAGTTATTTCCATTGAACTGCTTTACGCAAACATGCACTTTTATTGGAGCTTTCAAATACCTACTAAACAACACTTTGAACTGGAACTAGTGTTTCATGGGCAACTCTTCTTTGTAGCAGTGTTCAAGGACAGTTCCTGAAATATTGTCTTAACAGGGCACTGACTGTAATGAATACAAAACCATGGGAACCAAGCTGCACTTGTGTAAATAGAGGAGCCAACAAAGTACAAGAGCTTTGTCATGTGCACTGACAATGGCGCATGAATAGCACAGGGGCCTCATTCACATTAAGCATACTTTGCCGTGCAGAACTCCGTCGTTTTTGGCAGGGTGGATGAGTGAACAGTGCTTATCTATCACAGTCATCGAGTCTTGCATTCTCCACGCTTTGTGAATGCACAGTTCAAAGAGTGCACAGTTGAATGCATCAAGTATGGCATAAGAAATGATTCAAAATGGGAATGTAGAGAGCCATGCACTTGTTGCGTGCAACATGAAAAAAAAAAAAAAAAGACAGATTACATGGACAATAGCAATTAAAGCCATGTAAATAATGAATGAAATGAGTAATCGAGGAATGGGAAACAGGTCATAGGGCACTTCTTTTCGTAGAGTGTACAAAAGGAAAACAGCGAGAATGAATTCTCCTTCAAGCTGCCCTTTCAACGAGACTCTTGCAATATCCAATGTCCATCAGGTCATTACTGCTGCTGCTTTGGCACACCAGCATCAACGTCTTCAACAATGAATGGTTTATTATTGGATGGTAAACAGACCACAACAAAGCAAAAGACAAAGAGTGTGGTGGAAAATAGGCAGTTGCTTCACAAGCGTGCCTTGCTCATCGCATGCTTCAATTCCTCCCAGCAAGATGAATAGAAAACTCAGTAGGCAACTTCATGCTTACTAGGGAAGTTTACGAAGGAGCTTCTCATCAGGTTTGGGTACTGTAAATGATAAGCGCGGCACGTACATTAGTAAATGGAGATGGGGTCCACAAACTAAGACAAGGATGGACAGTATGACAATAGTTGAAATTCAGGACTATAGACGATGCACTCTTTTTCTTCAGAGAGAGATGTGCTCAGAGAAAGAAAGTTACATGCCCATGCGGTGGTCGTTTCTCGGCATCATTACCAAGCAAAGCTTGTGAATGCCGTCCTCATCCTATGTGGAGCGCACAATGCCGCCGTTGGAAAGAGCATCATGTAAAACAAGAGAAGAGATAAAAAGAGAAAAAGGTGATGCTTATCAGGCAGACATTGTGCACACCTTCGCCTGTGAAATGGGAGAACGCAGAGGTGTGCAACTTGCAGACTCTAGCTGAAGCAAAAAGAAACAGCATCTACTGTTGCAGCGACATTCACCTGCCATGGGCATAATAACAAGACTGTTCAATTTATTCAAGCTTGTCCCCCGATGAACATTCTAGAAAAATTCTTCTAGCAGAGTTTTTCCTTGACAGCATTTAACTACTTTCTGCGCAAGACCCAAATTTGCCGTTAGGGGAGGTGTTCTTAAAAGAACACTAAGGTTAGGCGCTAAATAACTTGAGACTGATAAGCTGTTTTATCATATCCCTATTGCCCTTAGCCCAGCCATTATGAGAAGCTCATTATGAGAAAATGCAACCAGCCTTGTTATTAAATTTCACATTTAAATATGAGCAGTTGCAAAACTGCGATGCCATAGATCTCGACAAACTTTTTTTTTTGTATTTTTGCCCCAACTGGCTCCATAAAACTTAGCTGAAAAATGCTATGCCAGGTCTCAGGTTCACCTAGAACAAAACTTAAGAGTACTGACACAAACATTAATCTTTTTATTGCTGTCGCAAATAAAAGCAGCGGTGTCAATACCATTAAAAGAGCCTTTACGTTGGCCACGTAATTGGCTGGTAAGTACAGTGTCCAAGAATTTTCATAGCAATCAGATGAGGCAGCATCCTCCTCCAATATGCAGAATTATCAAGATCACTACAAAATTGTTGCTTTCTAAGCTGCGTGATACGTAGGAATTGCTTAACACCATACTTGCAATTAAATTAACCTACAAAAAGTGAACTAAAAGCCACGAACAAAAGCAAAGCACCCTTGCAACTGGTCGGTACAACGGTTCAAATGGAAGACTGCTTGGAACCGAAACTGCCCGCGTGTGCCAAGCCTTGAAAAACCTTTGGTTATGTTCTCTGAGCTGTATATGAGCCACAGCGATGACTTCCCTGCGAGCCACTACATCTGCACAATCGCCAGTCAGTGCAGATGCTGTGTTCTGCTGAATTGCACAGTCTTCTCTTCAAATAATCGTCACAGCACCTTCAGTAGGATGCCACCTAGTCTGCGTTTGTCATCTGCAACACGTGTTACAGTCATATCGTTTTTGTGACAATGCTGAAAATAGAAGCAAGAGCAAAACCGGAAGTGCATGTTTGGGCAAGCAAATGCTAACAACCAAAGGTTGAAACACCTTGCACACACAGGAAAGAAATGAGTCCTGCCTTGCTTTCTGTCTCATATTCGAAATCCCCTTCTTCTTAACTCTACACACAGAAAGAAACCTTTGACAACAAACATATATCGTGACAGCCTACTCGGTGAAGTCTTGTAATCATAGCTCAATTAAAATAACACAGTTAACAAAAGAGACCAACACACTGCTGCTTCTTAAAAGTTAACTTTGAAGCCTTTGCAATCCGTACATTGTTCTCAAGCACAGATACTAGGAGTGTGCGAATATTCGAAAGTTTTGAATATTCGCCGAATACAGTCGAACACGGATATATCAAACCCACATATATCGAATTTTCGCGTGTATCAAACTCGTAAGTTATCCCCTTGAAATTCCTCCGATATTGAACGGTATTTTTGCCCGCCTTCGAATATATTGAACACTTGGAAGGTGCACTTTGGCACTCGCAGCGCCCGGCTATTTCTGCGCGGCACCACGCCTCCACCAAAACCCGAAATGCTCGGAAAAAAAAAAAAAAAAAAAAGGTGAGGGCAAGAGGCCTCGGACTGCACAATTTCTAACTTGTGGAACAGCCTTTTTTTTTTTTTCCATTTCTCTTACTCTCTTTCATTCTTTCTCCGCCTACCCGTCGGCAGGAACGAAGGAGCCAACATCCTCCTCCTTTTGCCTTTTCTTTTACTTTTTTGTTGCTGTTTTGCAAGTTTCGATTAGCCAACCACAGCTCGCGCCTTTCACTGTTGTCCTTGTAGCTGGCCATCACATTGCGAGTGCTGTGTTGCTTCCGCTTGTGCGTTACCTACGTACCACCGCACATGCAGCATTTCTCTATTGAGTGCGTGTTATGCAAAGGCGCTGCGGACTCCTTGAATTGTCGACTTTTCGTGTAGCTATGGCCAGCATTAAGAAGTGCAAGACCCTTGGCTAAATGGTTTGTTGCTGCACTCGGTGAAACAAGTTCGCCGACAACACCGGGTAGCTTCACCGATTTAAGCAGCGCTACAACATCGTTGCCAAAACCATTTCTGGTGAAAGCGAGGCTGTCAGCACCATGACATCCAGCTGTGGATGGCGAAGGAGTGGCCGGAAATCTCCGGTAAGTTTTCTCCCGCAGAGATCGTCAACCCCTGGCGAGACGTGGAGATGGACACAGTGGTCAACTGCTCCGCAAGGCAGGCTTCGAGACGGCAGAACTTGCCGAAACCGGTGAAGATGACGACGAGCGCATAGACGATGCATTTCGAGAGTTGTTGTCCCGTTTCTTGGCAGCAGTTCCCCACGAAGTGTCTGCAGACGACTTCGTGAAAGCGGACTGCAATGTCCAGGTTGTTTCGAGCCTCGCTGACAAGGACATAGTAGCTGGAATCGCAAGGACTCAGGATGCCCACGCTGAGAGCTCATGTGACGAAGAGGATCGTCGGGACGAGGCGCTGGCTACATGCGCATACTCCATCGCTGATGTGGTGACAGTGTTCGGCGTCATTCGCCGTTGTATCAGCCACATGAAGGGAACTGGGCTGTCGCACCTGGACAGCCTTGATAAGATCGAGACTAGCGTCTTCAACATTTCAAATACGAATCAGGCCAGGATAAGCAATTTTTTTCATGCAAATAAATCATTCTGTTGCGGCGTATGGGCAGAATTAGTTGTCATTCTTGAATGCGCCTGCTGTAGGTGATGATTCGTTACAGGTAAGCTCTCGGGGCCTGAATTTTTTATATTGAATTTTTCATATATCGAGCTAATTCGCGATCCCCTTTGAGTTCGATACAACCGTGTTCGACTGTATTGCATTTGTAATACTCGTATTAGATTCGATAACCACATATTCAAAAATTTCAAATATACGAAGATGTTCACGATTATTCGTTTGCATACATCATTGTGAAGAACTTACGATTTTGCACATTCCAAGAGCCTCTGTAGATCACGCAATGATTACTACGACTTCGGTGCGAGTATGGTGATGCCTGCCTGGAAATTCACGACAGCATCATGACGGCTACCAGCGAATGCGGCGGCACATCATCGTGACAAACCTACTAACGATAAACATCTCAATCCATTTAAATCATGAGTAGCTTAATAATTTGGCACTGTTACGACTCATGTAAGCGTACTGACCACGCCGTTCACTGCCGCGCCCTTGTGCACGGGACAGCAAGTGCGTATCGCTTGTGGAAACGAAGGCAACTTGCCGCTGCCGCATTGGCTTGACAAAACAGTCTTCGCATCTTTGCCCGTTCCGGTGCCGAGAAAGAAAGAATTAAAGAAAAAAAAACTACTATATGCAAGGGAAAATGCATGCATATACGTTACAGAGCGCGGTGCTGATAGAGTGAGCTTAGGAGGCGATGCACTGCACGCAACTAGCTAAGGGCACGCTCAGCTTGACGTATGATGGTAACACGTTTCATGTATAGCTACGCCAGTTTTCACTAATGGATCACCATACAAACGTATGCGCACATAACTATAATAACAATTCTACTGTTTCCAACCTAAATATATGATTGAGTAAAAGATTAATGGTGGACAGTAATTGCACCTCTTCATTATTCAATATTCAATGCATATTCGAAGCTAAGTATTCGTATTCGATTCGTATTCAAAATTTCAATATTCGCACACCCCTTACAGAAACACAAAACAGGCTCACACATCCAGAGTAGTGGCCGACCCTCATCGGTCAGTTGACTTGGCAGCTGAATTCGGGTGGCTGCCTCAAATGTCGAGCAACAAGTCAGGCTCGAGGCCCAGTGGCAAGCGGCGCAAGATGTTCCAGGCTTCCCGCAGTCCGCTCATGTAAGCTCCACTCACGGTCTGTGGGAACATTCGACTTGTACCCTGGTTAAAGGAGAGACAGGATTGGTTCAGCAGCAAGACACTGCAGAATACCAATTCTACATAAGAGAAAACTATAAGGCGACTTGGTATGTAAAACTAATCGACACAAATTCTCAAGAGAAAGAAAGTAGGAGAAGAATAACACAAGCACTGTTGTTCAGATGAATTTCTTCGTTGAAACAATGCACCATATGCAGACATCATAGTGGAAGAAATCCAAAGTCACGCATTCATCAGCAAATTGCCCCCCCCCCCCCTTTATTGCATGGCACTTCCCACTTGCACATGTACAATCAACATTGTAGTGTAACCAGCACCTCCACCCCTCTTAAAGATGCAGGAAGACCTGACCAGATGTGGTTCACATAATTGTTTATTTTGCAGTGTCTGCCTCAGCTCAAAACCCTAACAAGAAGGAAGAGTTTGGATGATGACGGTTATTCAATAAATGTGCTTACAACATGTTTGCCACTTGTCGAGATGCTGTGTTTCTTATTTTGTCAACAGACTAATGAACAGCTGGTGTACCTATCATGCACTGTCTGCAAGTGGCATGCTTCGGTAATCTCATGGGTTACACTAAAACCCCTTAAACATCGCCAAGTAGCGACACTCTCCTCCACGGCTTTCGTTTCTCGTCGGTTTCCTCTCTTTCGCACTTTTTATTCGAATGTGCTGTCACCTGCCTTGCTCCTGCATAGCAGACGCCTTTTCACGGTGAGAGCACTTGCTTGCCAAGAAGTGCGCTGAGAGCATTCACGCCAGCTGTCTAACTTATTCTAAAATTATGTATACGAGTGTAACATTGGGCCATCACATAGGGTATACACTATGTGGAGAGAGCACTCACAATGACTGTCAGTGAAAGCAGCAGATAGCATTGACGCTGTCGACACGGGACCGCAAAGTTGCCAACGGCCAATTTTTGAGTACGGTTCGGCATCTAAGGATTTTATCTTAAGAAAGCGTCAGAAGGCGAACATCATTCATTGGTGATACATTCAGACAGCTGTGGTTGTTTTGTGAAGTGCACCTTGTGGATGTATCTGACATTTGAGCTTGTTAGAACGCACTGCTAGGTCGAGCATGGGCGAGCAGCTAGTGCAAGCGAGATAAGCCACATGTGTCCCAAACGACAGCTGAACATTTATTTCTCTTGAAGAGCGCAAAGAAAAGCCACGTGGTTCTCTATGCTTGCGCTGTTGGCACTGGTGCACAGAAGCGCTGTTTCATGTTGCTACAATACTCCCCCTAGTAAAATGGATCAACACCACGTTGTGGTTCATGCGTTCATTCGCACCGGACATTTTGTGTGTCGTCCACTCCGCGTGAATTTTTCGACGAGTGGTTGGGCTGGCTCAGTCTGGTCTGCTGGAAGCCTTTCTCACTGTGGAACTCGAGATGGTGCACGCACTTCACTGTTGCTGTCCACGTGCGCTCGTTATACGTGGTCAAGCGACGTCATGACGACTACCTCTGTCGATCGTGATGTGTTTTTCTTCTCGTTTCGCCAACTTGAACGGCCCATCATAAGGGGGCTGGAGTGGACGCTCTACAGTGTCCTGCTTCACAAACAGGTGAGAAAAAGAGGAGAGAGCACTGTAGACGTGAACAGGCCATGGTGCTAGTGGACGTAGAGGGACAGGGTGCAGCTTGTTTAAAATTTCCTGCCGTCACAGGTCGCTGTTGGCCGGCGCGTTTGCGTTTTTACTGTCGGTGACAAACTCCCCCGGAAAGTGAAGTGTTGTTTCGTATACTAATTCAGCCGAGCAGCAGCCAATGTACACTTTCAGAGCCAACCTAATTCCCAATAAAACCAGAGGTAGAGCCTCGACTCAAGTGACACTTGAAGTTGCAGTCAGGCTAGTCTTCAGTTGGCAATGGAACCTTTCCACCATATCGTTGCTGATGAGATGGTAGGCCGTAGTTCGGATGCGCCGGATTCCTAGGAACTGCGTGATGTTCCCGAATAAGGCAGACTTGAATCGCGTTCCGCGATCCATTCTCACGGTCGATGGAACTCCGAATCACGCTATCCAGTGGCAGATAAAAACCTGGGAAACTGTATCGGCAGCGATATCTGGGATGGGGACGGCCTCCGGCCATCGTGTGAAGCCGTCGACACAACTTAGCAAGTAGTTTTGCCCTTGAAAATAACACAATGGCCCCAAAATGCCCAAATGCACATGGGAAAATTGAGTATCCGGCTCGGGGAAAGATCCTAAGGAGGGTCGCAGGTGCCGTATGTAGGGTCACAGTATGTGGATGTAAAAATCCAAAGTTTGATGACTGAAGTCACGGGCGCGTTAATTATGCGAGTGCGTTCACTATGCGAGTAAATACAGAATTTGTTCGTCTTAACAGAAATGCCCCCTAAAACCAAATGCTAACATGCCAAGTATGCCCAAAAGGTTGCTTCTAGTACACTTAATGAAGTATACTTACAATGGAGAGAAAAGGAAAAAAAAAAAAAGCATTTATTTGGCTCAGCTTGATACAAAATATGCTTTAGAGTTGAGTATTTAGACTAATCTAATGAGTACACGATTTTGCGAGTTCATAATAAATATGCTCATGGATGAATTGCTATCACATGTTAACAATAAAACTGTAGCAGGACCCTATTTTGACAATTAGAAAAAGATAAAAAAGGAGAGACAAGCTAAATTTTCATTCAAAGAATCGAAAATTTATTCTTCTGGCTGTTCACGTTCCTAAGGCTATTTTACTGGCTTTGCTATCCTTTTGTATATGCCTACATTGCATACTGCTACCTTGACAAACCCAATATGTGCCAAGTTATTCATGAAAGTCTGCAAACTTTTCTTGAAGGTTCGGATATTTTTCTTATTTTCAGCCCCCAGTAACTTTTCTTGAACGACATGCAGCTGAAAATCTTCGTTTACGCTATTCACAATCACAGGCCTTCGGCACACAAAAAAAGACACGACACAGCTGTATTTAGTGTGCAAAATGACCTTTCTTTGTCGTGCACTTTCATAATAAAAATGGTGCATCACAATATACTGCAATTCACTGGAAACAGATACGACCAGAACATGTCCTATGCAAACCAACGCTAACTGACCACAGCATGCGCTCAGGCACCATTGTGTGACGGCGATAACTACGCATCTGAACCCTCTGATGGAAGTGCTAGTGCTGCATGTGTTTTCTGTTTCGTGTGATTATAATGCACAGACAATATTTCTTCCCGCTTACACTTTCATTTTGCTTTCCTCTCCCCCCCCCCCCTTCCCTTGCATTTTCCCCTCTAGCCAAGCTCTTGTGTTCTGTTCTCCACTGTACTCCCGCTGGGGAACTGAAAAACATGAGGAGAATGCGAAAGAATGAATGCTTTTTGTTGCTTTCTTTGCTGATTAAGCCGGCCGTTTCTCCACTGTCAGGCTAGGGGTCAGGGAGATACCAGCTTTATGCGCTGACTTTTCTTTCCCAATTATCTCCCTTTCTCCCTCCACGCAGCAATTAGCTTTTGATTTGCTTTGAGTCTTTGTGCCAGGAAGTTGCATTTTTTTTTTTTTCAATTTGCTTTCTCTAGTTTGCCTCAATGCCCCCATAATGTTCATTGCCCAGAATCCCTGTGATTGTTGGCCGCTGCAAGAGTTCATCTGAACAAAAGAAGCCTGTTACGTGTTTGTATTGAACAGATTTTTCTTTGCACTGCGTCTATGGTAAACCAAACAAAAACTCCTGTGTTGTTCGTCTTAAGCGATAATTCATCTTAATAGAAAAATGCTTCCAGTAATGTGTTAAAAAAAGCACAAATTTTAAAAATAAAAATTGCGTCCTATGTCATCAACGGTAAAATTGACTGCTTACAAAGCTCTCGTCAGACCGAAATCAGAATATGTGGATCTGATCTAGAGCCCGCATCAAAAATATTCAATAAGGAAAATAGAAAAAAGAAAATTTGCCTATGAGGTTGATACTCGCATTTTTCAAACGTGTGCGTTCTTCACGACAGGGCAAAAGCGAAAAACTGGCTCACCGCAGAAATGTATCTCATATGAAGTTTTGTATCAGCTGTACCACAGTCACTACAATATACCATGTAAAAAATACTTAACTGAACCCACCATTGATACGTGAGCTTTAACATCCCAAAACCACCATATGATTATGACAGATGCTGTGTTGGAGGGCTCCGCAAATTTCGACCACCTGGGGTTTTTTAACGTGCACCAAAATCTGAGCACACGGGACTACAGCATTTTCGCCTCCATCGAAAATGCAGCTGAGTACCTTAGCCACTAGACCACCGCGGCGAGGCAACTGAGCCCGCCATGCGATCTGGTTGTACAAATCACAACAAAACAGTTAAGCAGTCATTTATTAATTTTAAAATACATCAGCATTCTCTTTTTCAACATGCAATATTACTATGAAATAAATTACCAGCAGAAACAGTTATAGGTAACTGTAGGAGTGCTGAAACCCCCTGTGAAGTTGTTTGTGCAGCGTGGCGCAAATGTGTCGCGTAGAAGCCCTATTTTGGGGTCACAACTATTGAGCAGTAGGTGGCCTTGTGTTCGCGAGCGTTGATCTGCCGTACCCGCGAGCTGCCGTACCCTTGAAATCGAAAATGCTGCAATCCAGCGCACACCAAACCGTTGGCAGCCGTAGCATTAGCTGCATGGTGCTGCGTGCTCTGACAGTAAAGCTACCCTACTGACCTATGGTCTGCGTGAGTAAGCTTGCAAACTCGTGGATGGCAGTTATGCAACAGACCCCCCGGAACTGTTTTTGCTTGACCTTCACACTGGACGCCGAGACAACCGTAGCGCCTGGAGTGGAGAGCATGAGTGATGAACTTCCTGCGAACGTTTGCACAATGACCTTCATGCTGCCAGTGTTTCGATTCTAGCCAGGATAATCCTTGAGGGCATCACCGACGCTGACAAAGACCTCGAGCTGCGTGCGGAATTGACTGATGACGAAATCATTTGCCAAGTTACGGGAGGTTCTGACCACTCCGACACTAATATCGAAGAGGCAGCATCTACTCACCTAACGAGCACGGAGTTGACGCGAGCACTGGCTCTGCTAACGGTGTACAGCGACAATGTGACATTAGCTGGAATTGAAGCAGACATCATCGTGGGCAAGTGGAATTTTGTGCAAACGAAGATAGGCCACTTCTTTAAATGCGGAGCATTTCTTAGTCGCACGATGTCGCGGATCCGGCATTGGCGGCGCCGTCCACACCCCCCTGCGCATGCTTGCATCTTGTGCCAAACCAGGAAGACACCTCGCAAAACTGTCGTTCCTCTCTCCTCTCTTGCCTCGCAAGGCCGACGCAGACAGCGTCTACTAGTAAAAAACCAACTCTTCGCGCAGCACAACACTTCACTGGCCACCCCGTATATGTAGGCACTGGATGGCGTGTTCAGAATTCAGTCAAGGGTGTCCTTGCGGACCTTTCTCCCGTACTCCTCTCCCTCGAATGCTAGTGGTGTGTATATAAGCGGTGGAGCACGCGTTCGAAATTCCGCCAAAAGCGTCTTTTCTTGGTTTTCAGTTGACTTGACTCGAGTAATGCGATGGAAGCAACAGTACCTTTAACCAGTAGTGGGGCTTAACCCAACAACAATGCGTAGTGGATCCTCCTGCTCTCCACTACGCAGCCGCAGCATGTGACGAGAAAGGAGGAGCGTCTCCATGCGGAGAGAAGCAGATCGCCATTTGAGAGAAAACCAAGACACCACGACAGCTTTTTTTTTTTTTGCTCTCTTCGTGCGCGACGTTGAAAGGAGAAGGGTTACGTGGCAGGGACGAGAAAGGGGGAAGCGCGGCACCGGCGCGTGAGAGACCCCCCTCCCCCTCAAAGCACAGAGCTGTGCTTCCGCAAGGGCTGCAGAAGATAGCGCCTCTTTTCTTTCCTTCAAGCACCCATTCATTCAACCCAGTGACAGCTTTCTTTTTTTTCCTTCTCTCTCTCTTCACGCGCAGCGTTGGAAGGAGAAGGGTCTTTACGTGGCAGGGACCAACGTTACTGGGACGAAAAAGGGAGAAGGGTGACACGGGCGCATCACAGATCGGCATTTGAGAGAGAGCAAACATTCCACCGCAGCCTTTTCTTTCGTTTTCATTTCCTTCGCGCACAGCATTGAGGTGTCGCAGGTGCCTCCTCGGGATCAGGCGGGGTGCTGAGAGAATAGACCTCTCCTTGTTTGTAAACAGTGTGACGTCACTGCGGGCACCCTGGCCCCCATACCCTCTCTCGGAGCAGCTGCTGGTTGGCAACAATGTTCCTCCGGCGTCATCTTTCTGCATAGCAGAGCTGCGTGTCTGCATTCCTTCGACAAAAATTTCTGCGTTGCTATGTTTTAAAGCCACAGCTTTTGAAAAAAAGGGGCCGCGGATGGGTCACTACTCATAGTGTGGAAATTTGCTCGTCGTAGTTGGATGGATGGACAAACTTTGTTTTGAGTACTGAGAGATGCGACTAGCATGCAGTGGGCTTCGCCTGCGTAGATGGCAGCGATAAAAAAAATCTGATAGTTTTCGAACGCGAAAGTTCTGAGTGAACACGGTTACTGGCACTTAGAGAAGTATTTGCATGGCATGTATGTAAAGTTTTTCAATTTCCATCATGGCATGTGCAATGCAGATTTAAACTAGGTACAGCATTTGCAGCAGCATGGTTGTGAGCTGCTGTGCGCGACGTCACGAATATGATTCTCACTAATTGCCCACAAGTCTGATCGGAGATGAATAACAAGAAAAAAAAAGCAACACTTTTTGCCGTGGGTTAGGCTGAGGTTAACATATCCTCGTGAAAATCAAAGTGACATATTTCATCACGCACTTTATCACACACCTAGATTTTTTCTGACACATACCGCAGCTAGTGTTGCCACTGTGAGCGGAAGATTAAGCTTTCAAAAACAAACAAAAAAATTGCCCCAAGCACCGAGCGACTGCACCCCACTCAGCCACCGGCGTGAATGTTTTGCAAACCACGGCCTTGCATGTGCACCGATGACGTCATGCTGTGACGCACACCGGTAGAGGTCTATTTGCGGAGTGCGGTACGTTCGAATTAATCTCCGGAAGTGCTTGGTCGTTTGAATTACCGGGCGTTTTCGCCCATTGGAATACACATAGTTTTGACAAGACCTCATCGTGAGTTTGAATTAACCGGAAGTTTGAATTAAGCGTGTTCAAATTGATGAGATCGACTGTACGACGGTTTTGCGGGTCCCATAAAAGTCATATAATTAGGGTTCCACTGTTAGTTTAAAGAGCGAGGCCCACCCTTAAATGATAAAGGCTCTGTGGAGTGTGCAAATGCATAGACGGAGAACACCAACCTCGCCAGCGAAGAATAGTCGGTCAGCCAGCGGCTCAGCCAAGGTGTTGTAAGCATCGCCTGAGCCCCCGCAGCGCATGTAGCTGTAGACCATGCGTGAGTAAGGGCTATCCCGCCAGTGGGTCACAGAGTAGTCCTTTGGGTCAGGTACTTGCTGCACACAAAATAAAGCAAGGGGTCATGACACGCTCTGTCAGGCATGGTATAGAACAACGGTCCCACTATTCAGCGTGGCTTTTGATAGTTCTATTGCAATGCTACTACAGCTGTACAAGAATACATCAAACAAGAAGGGGATCCTAGCTAGTATGGAGTATAAACACAGTGAAACCTCAGTGATACAAATCTCACTGGGTTACCAAAAATATTCATGTAATAAGAAATTCGTATCACTAATAAAGCGCGAAAAATTTTTATGCTATGAAGGAATGCTGGGGTAAATTTTCGTCTATTGCTTTTCAGGGCTGCAGCAACGTCAGGAACAGCTCTAAATGACTGCCGGCAATGTTTGATGTCAACAGTCACTCTAGTACTAATAAATACCGTATTTACTCGCACAATGAATGCACTTTTTTTTTCGGAAAATCAGAGCAATGTTGGAGGGTGCATTTATTATGCGAGTAAATTTTATGAAAACTTTTTTGGGAGGAGTAAAACAAGGTTAGGTCGCTTAGCTTTTCACAATTGACATACACGTACACTGTTTAGAAATAGCTTCTTTGTTGCACATTACTCATCTTCGGTGGTTGATGGCACTATCTTCTGCAAGCTGTCCTCAGGCCGCTCGCGCACGCCATAAAAGCGTTTTGCGGCTATCTTTGCTCGCAATTGTTTAACCGCAACAGAGGTCTGCTGCGATCTCGAGGGGCGCCCAAAAGCGTGCGCTATGACACACTTTGCCAACTTCACGGCAACCTCACACGATGACCGTGACGACGACATCAACATTATAGCAAGTAACTAACATTGCAGCAAGCTACCCCCAAAGCATCAAAATAAATCGTTGTTAACAAGACTAACGACAAAACACGGCAGCCGCCTCGCTTCAACATGAGAAGTTCCTCTACGCGCAGATAACAAGTGAAGCGAGAATTGGGGGTGGTACCGTGTTGTAGAAATCATCATGATCATTTCTGAACGACAAGCGATTTTTTCGAGTTTTCCAGAAACCTGTGACACGATAGCGTCGAATGACCCTTCGCGACAGCAAATCCTGTCGTCGGTTGGCGCGGGCCGTTTTGTGACCTTCGCTTACTGTGTGCTTATCAGCTGCGACGCCTCTACACTCGCATGGTTTGTGAACCCCACTGTGGCTCACAAATAAGACGGGGGACATGCTGCGCACAGATAGAAAGAAGGACAATACGGTACACGGCAACGGTGGAAGAGGGGAGGGAGCAAGTTGAGGTGGGTTGGGCAAAATAATAATAAATGAAAGAGATCCAATGGGTGAGAAGGCGCCAGGTATCGGTTAGCGGGACTGCAGTGAATCAATGTAGGAGGTGTGTTTATTGCGCGGGGGAAAAAAATTTTGATGACTGAAGTTTGGGGTGCGTTTATTATGCGAGTGTGTCCATTACGCGAGTAAATACGGTATACGGTCTGTATAATTAATGATGCAGATTTGTCATGATCCGTGAGGGCTGATAGCTCCTTCCAATCCTTTATACGCTTTTGCACACGACACCACGGTACGGTATAACCACGTTGCAACGAATCTGCTTACAACCGAGATTGGGATGCTACATACCATCATGCCAACCTCCATATTCATTCCAATAATTGAGCTTTCTTAATTATGAATTCTGCTACAACGAACACTCTGTTTTAATATACCAAAATATAAGACCAGCAAAGTGGTCACGACTCCTTTACAGCGAACTTTTCTATCACGAACCTCTGAAATTAAATAACTTCAGACTCAAAACATCACTAGGCATAGTTTCAGGGTGCGAACAGCATGCTGCAGATTTCTACGAAGCGATTTAGAAATGAAGGCCGCCGGCCTGCGGGTTATTAATGATCCGTTATGTCAAGCTATGCATACACAAAACCAGTGTGCAGCGTGCTTGGTCCCGTGATTCAGGGTGCTGACACACGGAAAGGCAAGCCATTGTTACTGCTGCTTTGAGCAGTTGCTGTGTGGTGGGCTTGGTTGAGTGTTGGCCGAGGGGTTCACTGCTGAAGTGCAAAATGCCCATGCAGGGTCGTGAAGAGCTGACTTATTCTCCATGCATCCATTTTGGTGGAACATGCATCTGGGGCTAGAAGGGCTTTCAGGTCACCAAAGCCATGGGGCAGCCCTCTTTCTGATGACAAACGCCGCAGATAGCATGCTTCACAGCACAATTGTCTCCACTATTAGCATCTTTCCCCGCATCAAAAAGATGTGTTGTGGTAAAGCTTCCTAAAACAAATGACTCCTTGCGGAGTGCACGTTAAATACTTCATGCACGTGTCAGCCTCCTTATCTTACAAGTAACCTGTGGCAAGTACCAGAATTTGAGCGAGCAAAGATGGCTTATTGCTCCACGTACACGATGTTCCTGTAGGACTAGTGTTGGTGACTGCATTGTCTCAAAGCAAGTGCGAAGCTTTACAACTTCTTCCTCCTCCTACCCTCCCTATAAAATGAGGTCCTGCAAGAGTGAAAAATTTGTACAAAGAAACCTGTTCTTACAGTTTGGATTTGTGAAAACCTTTCTCCTTTCAAATAAAAACATACCAATGTGATTGGCTGGGGCCATTTTGGAGTAGGTTTCTGCAGCAGCAAAAAACACTTTTTGGAGCAGCGAAAAGCATATTTTAGAGAAGAGAGAAAGGTTTTTTGAGCTGTCAAAAGTGCATTTCAGTGTACGAAAAAAAAAAAAGAGCCTCTCACAGCAACCAAGAGCATAAATTGAAGAGGGGAATAAGAGTTATTGCTGAATGGAAAAACTGGATTTGTGACACCACAGCTGAATAAAGCGTAACTGAGAAGCATTCCATAACATTCCATGCACGTACAGCTCAAACAACTCCACAACCGAGGATAGTGGAGGGATGACTATAGAGCAGACTTTCCTTACTGCCATTTGTAATCCCATAAAATTCCATGCTTACGCATCCTGCATATTGCGCAGTGCCTGAGATGAAAGAATGATTGTGATGCAGCTCAGATCAGTGTGGTAATGACTGTCTCTCAACAGAGGTACGCCGGCAAGGGAAAGACAGTGAACATACAGAACATACAAAGAGCAGAGCGTGGAAAAAAAAAGAAATTAAAAGGGTTAGTCATGTGAAGCTAGAGTAACTGCAAAGCTGCTTGACCTTAGGTGCTTAACGTGGCCTTTTGGTTGATGCTTGGCATAGACAAGAGTCGAACCACAGCCTGTCGCAGACTATGCGAGAATGTCCAAACTTCAATGCCAGAACTAACATGCAAATCTGATGTGGGCCTATCTTCATTGGTACTCTGCTCGCACCACAGCAGTAAAACTCGGCGCGGAGCAGCGCAGCGACTGCTCCTCGGCACATGCATGGCTGAGTGAGGGTAAACCCAGGTGGTGAGCAGCCAGCCGAGCTGTGACATGGACCTCTCTAGCCACCATAGCTGTAATAAGCAACGACGCAAAAGTCTGTCTAGCGGACACCCGACGTTTCACCTAACCTCGCTCAAACAGAATGTGTAGCGGGCGCGCAGCGTTAGGATGCATTGTCTGGGTGTTGAAAAGCCTTTGCTTTGGCTGCTTGCCGCGCATTCCGCACCTCACGTCTGCGTCAGGAGATAGTACTCAGTTCGACCATCAGTGAAAGCGGTGTTCCGCAACAAAAAAGGCTTCGCGATGCGGGTTCTTTTTTTCCACCAGCAGGCGAACGTGCAAGCTTGGCAGGTTTAGTTGTCCCGGTTGTTCTTCTGACCCTGTACCCAAACTTGGTCCCACGCATGCTGCCCTCGGCTGAGCTCGTGAGTGTGATCTCGTGGGCACCTGATCTCATGTTTGCTAAGGCAACCTTCCCAGGGTGGCATGCCAATTGAGTTGAAAGTCCGTAGATTAGACCTGAGGAGCAGTAACCGCGTAAGCACTACATCGGTAGCAGCTGTGGATGTGTGGTTTGGTGACGAGTCATTGAAATGCTTAGCAGTGGTTACATTTTGAAAGAAATAAATATATATAAACAACTTTTCGATTATGACAACAGCGACTTGCATAATTAACAAAAACGAGGGCATGCTGGCGCATGTGCAACATTCAAGTTGTGGTCCACGGTCGCCAATGCTTCGTATATCGCGCCTAAAGCAAGCGGAAACTCTGCTGTCATTACGTGGTGTAATATGCAGCATAAACGAGAAGCTGTACAGAGTTAATTGGCGACTTTTACAGCAGTGTTTCTTTTTCTACATTTATTTTGTTGGCACAGTAGGCCTGCGAACGTGAAATTTTCAACATGTGCACATTTAAGGGGATGAGAATTTACATTTCTGCCGCACGACAAATAGCACGGCTGCCGATCGACAGCTTTTGCCCATGTGCAGTCTCTGGAGAACAGTGTTTTACTTATATGGTGTATATGCTTTTTTTCGGAGGCCTACATTAAATAGCTAGTTCATGGTATAAAATAAAAAAGTAGCCCGACCAGCACTGCACAGGATTGCACGCTTTCCTTAATCTATGCGCACTCACAGCCAAGGTGGTGTGGTGTGTGCATGTGAGGACAGACGCAGGCCAAGGTGTTTCGACCTCGAGAGATGGTACTTTCGTTTTCGATATGTGAACACACTACATTTGGCACAGCTGTGGCACAGAATGGTAGAAATGTAGCAGGATTGGTCTTTTCGTGCACTTTGGCATAAATGTCACAGCTATCACATCACTGCAAAAAATTCTTTCCTCGGGGCAGGCCGGGCAGGCCTTCAAAAGCTAGCTGCCTCTCTAGCGCTTCATCTCTTCACGTGTGCAGAGACTGGTTCAGTCAGCTCACAAGGAAAATCACTGAAATCGTGCCACCCAAATCACTTCGCTGGCTCGGCCACTGCCACCGCTGTTGCTCAAATGTTTATATGACCAACAGCAGCATGAAAATTTATACGGTAAAGCCAGTCTCTTACATTTTGTAAGAAATCCATTTAATTAAAGAAATATTACAAATTGATATCACACAAACATTTCACCA